GGGCTTCTCTGCGAGTGGGCAGCGCTGCCGCCTGTGTCCGCAGCCAGTGTGCTCTCCACGGCATTGGCCGCCTTGTCCTCGGGCACCAAAGCACTGTTGCTGCTGCTGCTGCTGCTGATACGGGGAGGGAGAGGCTGGCTCAAGCTGACCACCCCCCCCCCACCCTGCCCTACCCCACCGGGCGCACCTGGAGCTAGAGGGGCCGCCGCTCTTTGCCCGCTCCCTCCAGCCGTGTGACATCTCATGGTACCTGGCGTGCGGGGCCTCCTCGTCGCTCTTGGGCTCCTCTGCAGACGCCTTGGCCGCTTCCGGGCCAGTGGGGAGGGTCTCTGTGGGGAGGGGCCCCCGCGCTCTGTCCTCCGCCTCCTCCTCGCTCTCGGAGCCCCCGGATGAGCTGCTGTCTGAGGCCACCAGGGGCGCCTTCCGCGCCACGCAGACGTTCCAGGCGCAGGGGGAGGAGGGGGCGGCCCCCGCTGCGGGGGAGCCGGGGCAGTCAGGCCACGAGGTCCCCCCTCCCTTCACTCACACACACACACACTTCTGCCCAGTCTGGTCAGGAGCCCCCTCCCCTCCTTCTCAGGGGGGCTCCCACAGGGGCTCCAGCCCTCACCCCAGGAGCCCCCTCCCCCTCCCTTTGGCCCCTCCCTGCCCTCCGCTGGGCGCGCTGCTTACGCTGGGCCTTCTCCTGGGGGGGCGCCAGGCCTCCCTCCGCGTCGCCGCTGACCTCTGCCTCCACTGGGGAGCTGCACCGGGGGCCGGCCTCCGAACTGCAAGGGGGTGGGTGGGAGGGAGCTCTGTGTCCTCGCTGAAAGGGGCTGGCCCTGCGGTCACCGTCTACGGCCGCAAGAGCCCTTGACCCCTCCTCCCGCAAGAGGCGAGCCCCCACTCACCAGCAGAAGGGCTGGAAGTCAGTGAACTTGGCCCAGCCCCTCTCCTCAGGGGCCTTGGTGTCCAGGGCGGCCGAGTCCCACACGCTGGAGCCCACGTCCATGGCCACGCAGGAGGCGGGAGGCATCGAGCTGACCGGCTCAAACACCGCCGTCCAGCCGGACCCTGCAGGGAGGGAGGGAGGGAAGGATGGCACGGACTGGACATTGGCCCAGGCGGGGACACAAAAGCCGAGGAAGTGGACTTGGCCGGGCACCGAGTGCAGCCCCACCGCTCCCAGGAGAGGGGGCCGGAGTGGGGGTGGCCAGTATTACCCCGCTCTCCCCCATTTCCCCCCCCCCCATCCCCTCTAAGCTACAGGGGCTCCATTGCGCTCCACAGGGAGAGGCGGGTGGGCAGGTCAGGCTGCAGGAGGCGGGTGTGCCCCCTCCCCCAATTTCCTCGGCAGGAAATCCTTGCCTTGCTCCTCATCGGAGGGGGGGGGGGCAGGTGGGCGGGGGGGGCAGGGAGTGAACTGACTTGCCGGCCTCCCCGCTTCCTCCCTCCCCAGCCATGCATTGAGGAAGCTGCACCTTCCGAGGGACTATTACGCCGCGAGAGCCTCAAAAGGGATATTTCGTTGGCACATTAGAGTCCCCACCATATAATACAACTCCCCCCCCCCCCCAAAATGGGGGAGAAATGTGCACTATTATGCAATGAAATGCAGTATTGTATTGCCAGGCTTGGAAACAATTCCATACAATATTTACTTAACAGAGTTGTGTGCATTGGACCCTCAGCAACTTAGTCCATTTGGGAACTCTGCGGTTCGGAGTCCTCCGTGCGAGATGCAAGAGGCTCCAGGCGAGTCACCCGACCACCCCCGCCAGAGGGCCCCTTGGGCATTTGCAGAGCCGGAGAGGGAGGGTGCCCCGGGGCCCCGGCAACCCCTGAGCAGGGCCCGGAGCCCCCATACCTTCAGGGGCGGGGTCTGCGCCCTTCTCCCCCTCCCCTTCTTGCTCCTGAGGGGGGGCGCTGCTTCTGCCCGGGGGAGGGGGGGCCGGCCGCTGGGGCTCGTCTTCGCCGGACTCGGGGCTGCTGCCGCCACTGCTCCCGCCGCCACTGCCGCCAGGGCCTCCGTTCTCGAGGTCACTCCTGGACGATCCCTCCGAGGAGCGAGAGGGCCCAAACCTGCAAGACAGGGCCAAATCCAGAGGCCCTCCTCCTTCCTCCCTCCCTCCCCTCCCTCCCTTCCTCCCTCCCTCCCTTCCTTCCTTCCGTCCTCTCTCACGCAGGTGGGGGGCCAAGGGCACCGACCGGGGCAGGAGGGGCTCCAATGTCACAAAACTTTAATACGCAGATTTGAGAAATGTGAACTTAAGATGAAATAATATGTGTGGGAATGAATGGAAGAATGGAAGAGGATGTATGTATGGCCCAAATAATTTTGGAAACCCCAGTAAACGACCCAGGCCTGCAATAACTATTATTTATTTGTTTGTTTGTTTACAGTATTTATATTCCACTTTTCTCACCCCTGGGGGGACTCAACTACCGGCTTGCTGGACTGTAATTAAAAGTTGCTAACGACAGCTGAAAAGGTACACTCTGATAAGAACTGTGACAGTGGTTCTTTCACATTAAGAGAAATGTTTACAACATTCCTTATGTTAAGAAGGAAGTCAACATACGATCAACACCAATCAAAAAGAATCAACATCTGGCCAGGAAACTGAGGTGGAGCCAGGATGGAAGGCGTCTTATCATTCATTTACCAGTTTGGAGCGACACAGGCAGAATATTCCTATGAAAGTCTAATAATGCTCAAAGTGTGGCAGACCTGAGGAGTCTGTCCCACCCGCCGTGCCCTGCCCCATGGGAAGGAGAGAGAGGGAGTGTCCCTATGCAGAATGGCCGATGTGCACACGGGAGCAGCCTGGCCACGTTGGGGCTTCTTTCTCAAGGGAAGAGGAAGAAGAGGGGCGCTTTTGGGGTCTTGCATTTTGTGCAGAGAGTCGGGTTCTGCTGCAGGGAAAACAGGGATCTGGTCCTTGGCATTGTGCTGCTTAAGGAAAGGACGCATTTTGGAGTTTTGGAGGTTTTGGAAGTGTGCGCTGGAAGGGCTGCAGGAAAGCAGGGCCTGGCCTAAGAGGAGCTTCTCCAAGGCGGGAGAAAGGGATGTGGTAATATGTGGATGGCTGAGGATGGACGTGTGAACATGTGTTATACATGTGTGGAGTGAAAATGTCATTCCCTTTTGTTTGTTTGTGAGCCACGTATTTGTGAATCCAGTGTAGTTGCACAGAATCTGTGTGTCCGCATGTCCAATGTCATCCCATGTCTAAATGTTTTTGGTAGTCCGACGTCCCCTCTTCCAGTCACACGGGAAAGTGCCAGAAAGAGAAGCAAGCGCAGCCCCGCCCCCTGCCTTACCGCGTCCGGGACTTGACTCGGGCCGCGTAGCTCCGTTCCTTCTCTTCCCAGATGTCTTCCTCCTCTTCTTCCTCGTTGTCATCAAACTGCTGGATGCGCTCGCTGCAGCAGGCTTCAAAGAGGGGCGCGTTGGGCTGCGGAAAAGGCCCCGTCACGGTGGCTGGGCGGGGCAGGACCCCAGAGAAGCAGGGCACTGGGGGGGGGGGGCCTGGGTCTGTCCTGCAGGCTTCTGGCTACCCCCCCCACCCCCAGCCATTGCAGGACGCCCCCCCCCCCCCCGCCACTCTCTTCAGCCCACCAGGCCGGCAGCTGGTTCTCTTGGGCAGAATGCGAGGGAAACTCAAGGCGGAACTTCATAAGGGTTTTTTTTTGGGGGGGGGGGCAAGGGGGTATCCCAGCTGATGGAAGGACTTACACTGTCGTCATCGGCATCGATGTTGAAGTTGATCTCTGCAATCCTGTCGAAAGGAGCGCTGGAGGCACAGAAGGGACCCTGTGAGGGAAGGGGGGGGCATGGGGAGGGAGGGAGGGGCAGCCCCCCCCCCGGCCAAAGAGCGCAAGTGGGGGGGGGGACTCACTTGATGTTGTCATCGGGCTCAGCAAACTCCTCGTCATTGAAGCCAAACTGGTCCACAAAGTTTGCCGTCATCTGCTGGATCTGATACTCCGAGAAGGCCTGGTCAGGGGGGACGGGGGGGCACACACAGAGCTGCCATTGCTTTGGCGCCCATGTGGCCCCGCCACCTTCGGCACCCCGCCCCCTTCGGCACCCCGCCCCTGCCCACGGTGCAGAACTTCTCAGATTGCTTCATTCAGCAGTGGAACTCTCTGTCCCCGAGAGTGTGTGGAGGCTCCTTTGGAGGCTTTAAACAGAGGCTGGATGGCCATCTGTCGGGGTTATTTGAATGCATTCCTGCTTCTTGGCAGAATGGGGTTGGACTGGATGGCCCATGAGGTCTCTTCCAACTCTAGGATTCTAGGATTCTAAAACTACAGATTCCACGATCCTGTGGCAGTTCAAGTGGTTTCAGACTTCATTACATTTATGGTGGGGGGGGTTGCCAGCCAGAGGGGGGGGCTCTTCCGCCAGCGCCCTCAAAGCAGCTGACAAAACTCCCACTGGGCTCACAATTCAAGCAGGGGAATACAGCCGGCCTAAAGCAGCGGAGAGTGGCAGGACCTGAAAGCCCCCAACCCCTCCTCACCCCCCCCCAGTCCATGGGAAAAGGCAAGGCTTCCCCCCTCCCCCCGCCCAAAGGAAGGCCAACAGGGCGCCAGGCCCACTCTCCTCAGGACAGGGCGCCAAGACCAGAAAGGCCCCGCCAGCCCCATAACTACAGGTGCCGACCCTGGTGGCAGGTCTGCCTGGGGGTCCTGCCCCAAAAGGCAACTGGCCCCAGGCGCCTCCCCTCAAGCCCTTCCGAGGCCATGGACCCCTCCCTTTGGGCTGGGTCTGTGGAGGGGGGGCTGGGCTACCTGCTGGAGTGAGAGCTCGTTGGAGAAGGCGGCTTCCGCATCCTCGTCTTCGCTGGAAGAGTGCAGGTGGTGGGTGCTCACCTGGAAGGAGGAGGGGGGTGCCATTCTGAACACCAGCACCAAGGGGGGGAGGGGGGTCAAGAGGCCTGGCCAGCCCCTCCTCCCTGCACCCCCCCCCCACAGCACTTCCAAGACCCATAAACAGAGCCGGGGGGAGGGGAGGGGGCCTACCAGGTCCACGGTGTTCCTCCGGTTGGCTTCGGTCAGCGTCTCCTCAACAAAGCTCTCCCAGCGCCCTCGGCAATCCTCAGGGAGCCCTGCAGAAAAGGGGGTTAGAAGCGGGGGGCTCAGGCAGCCCTCCTGGAGACAAGGCTTGGGATCCCGGCCTGGTCGGAACGCAGGCAGCTCAGGGGCAGGGAATGGGGGCAGCGCAGGGAAGAGACACGCAGGCGCCCCACGGGACATTTCCTGCCCGGCACCCGGCCTGGCCCTCGGCCTCACTCTGACCCCAAAGGCTCCCCGGGGGGGGGGGGTTCCTTCTGCCTTGGCTGCCCCGATGGAGCCGATTCCTGCAGGCTTGGCCTGAGAGAGCCTCCTGCATTTCTGGAAGGCCGTTCAGGGCCCGGGCCCTCCCCTGGCAGCAGCCCAGCCCCGGAGCAGAGTGCCTCTCCTTCCTTCCTCCTTCCCCTTCCCCTCCTCCATGTCCTTCTCTGCCTCTCATCCCAGCAGGCACCAGCACGTCAGGTCAGCACCCGAGACTGTGGCCAGATGGGGACAGTCTCCCTGGGCCAGTGGGTCAAGTGGAGCCCCATGCACCCCAGCTCAGAACCAGCAACCCCCCCCCCCCCGGGATGGTTCTCCTGCCCCCCCCCCCCCGCCCCAGTCTCTGCATTTGGAGGAGGGGTCCTGCAGCTGCGTAGGTGCTCTGGACAATGGTCAGCTCCCAGGGACAAAGCCCCTCTCCCCCCACTGCCTTGAGACTGCCTTCTCCACTGCCGCCCTCTCACCTTTGATGAACTCGCTGATCTGGGCCTGCATGGGGCCTTTGTCCACGTTCTGCACCACGGCGTTGGCGATGCGCGTCAGGTGCCCCATGTTGCCGCGCCGCATCCCCCCTTCCGCCCTGGAAAAGTACGGCCTTGGCCCGGCCCCCTCCTTCACGACACTCTCCGCATGGGTTGGCTTTGCCTCTCCCCCCCCCCCCGGTTCCTGGCCCTCTCCTGTTGGGCCTGGTCACCTCGCCACTCAAGGCGGCCAGCCCCGCCCACAGTGATGCCACGAGGCCTGATCCTTCTCTCTGGGGTTCCCCGCATTGCAGGCCTCGATGGCGGCCGTTGTGGTGCCTTTAGCAGAGAGAGAAAGGCGGCCGCCTGGCCCAAAACACCCCCCCGAACCCTCCCCATTTGTGCCTCCCCCAGCAGGGGTGCAAGGCAACGGGGCGGGTGTGTGCCCCCCTGCAGCCAGACAACAGCGGATTCAAAGCACAACTGGAGGTCCATCTTCTGCTCAATTTTAAGTTGTGGCTCAGTGGATTCCCACTTGTCTTTTAACTTTGTGTGTCTTTTTGTGTGGCTTTTAATCGTGATTTATCTCATGTCCCAATGACGTCGCATACTGCCTCAGGCAGTAAGGAATGGCAGGTAATAAATTCACTACTGTTGTTGTTATTGCTGTTGCTGTTACTCGTGATGCCACTCAGCATTGCCAGGCATGGATGGGACTTTTGTCAGGTTCCTCGTGAGGAATCCCAGAAGAGAGACAGGGCCGCACAAGGCCAAAGGCTAGCGCGGGGCGGTCCTGAAGGTCATGCCGGGCATTGCTGCCCCCCCACCCCCACCCAGCTGCGCCCAAGGGCCTTACTGCATCCGGTCGTTGGTCTCCCAGGCATCCAGAATCCTCTGCACCAGGCAGCACCTCTGGAACAGCTGGAGGGAAGAGCAGAGCGGGGCCTCAGGGGGCCGTGCAAGCAAGGGGCGCGCCCTCCCCCAGAACACAGCAGGAAGGCAATGGGGGGGGGTGGAGGGGGGGAGACAGCACGTGACAACCTCCCCCTCTGCCCACTCTTGGGTCACCTCTCCCGATGCCATTCCCTGCACCTCTCCTTTGCAGGGCCAAGCACGGCCGTTTGCAGCCTTGCCTATGATGTGCCCCCCACCCCCTTGTTCAACAGGAGAGTTTGGGACTGCACACACACCCCCCAACTCCTAGCAGAACCACAAGCACACCTCATGCCAAGCACTCTGAAACAGGCCTTTGACATCTCTGCACAGCAAGGCTCCCATAACGGCAGAATGAGAAACATCCCAGCCATTCTGTGGTGCGCTCGCTCACCAGGGGAGTTCCTATGGAGTGGCCCTGGAGAGACTTCTCTAGGGGCCCCTAGGTCCTCCAGTGCAACTCAATGGTATGCTGACACTAGAAGTCAGGCAACGTCATGGGGCTGAATGGTCTCCAGGGCTGACCCAAAGCGGCATCAGCGGGCACAGAAAGGGACCGTTTGCACCATTCAGCACTTTAAAAAGAGCACCCCACGGCCAGGCTTGGAAAACGGGGGGGGGGGGGGGACAAATTCAGTACAAGGCCACCTGTGGACCCGGGGGGGGGGGGGGGGGGTGGGCAGAACTGCTAGCCATGCTCAGGCCTGTCCTCTGACCCAGTCACTTAAAACCACGTGAGCAGCACATGGATCAGTGTGTGTGTATATATACATGTGTACATATGTGTGTGTATGTATGTATATACACCCACACCACACTGCACTGCAGCCAGAGCCAGGACTTCCTGTTGAGGCAACCGCTTCCCTTCCGGCTGCCACCCCTTGGCCCCAGAGGCGGGGGGGGGGGGTCACCTGGCCTTGCGCAAAAGCCGTAGGCCTGGCTCTGGCCGGAGCAGAAGCAGCAGGCTGCCCGCCTCCCTCACTCTAAATGCAAAGGAGCCAAAGAGAAGCTGGGAGGGGGCGAGGGGGAGAGATTCTTCTGCACTTCCCTGATGGGCTGCTGCCTCTTGGCCCCTGCTGAGGAACCCCCCCCCCCGCCGTGCGCACACATAAACACATGCCCCCGCCCCCCGGCACCGGAGTGGCTCCTCACATGCGTGAGCATGATGTTCTCGGGGCGGCCGTTCTTGGGCACCTCCCCTGTGGGCTGGTCCCCCTCGGCCACGCCCTTCCTCTCGGCGTCGCTTGGGGGGGTGGAGGAGGGGGAGGGGGAGGAGGAGGAGAGGGCCAGGATGGCGGCGATGCACAGCTCCACTTGGAAGTGCAGGAAGTTATTCCAGGTGTACTTGAAGAACAAGTCCTGAAACGGAGACGGGTGGGGTCAGCTTCTCTCCCAAGGGCCCTTCTCCCCCCCCCTCCCGCTAGCTGGCCCTGGGGGCCCCCTCCCCTGGGGACTCACCAGCAAGAGGTCCATGGTGTTGAGGCGGCAGAGCTCCTGGTTGATGCTGGGCGTGTTGGTGTGCAGAAGGGCCGCAACCAGGCGGGCCCCGTGCAGGCGGGCGTTCCCCAGCGGCTCCTCCAAGACCCCGATGGTGGTCAGGATGGGGGCTGCCTGGAGGGGGGGAGAGGAGGGGGAGGAGGAGGAGCCTCAGCCAGGCAAAAGGGCCCCCCTCCCTGCCCAGTGGGAGACCAGAGCAAACCTGCACAACCCCCCCCCCCTGCACTCCCAGGTGACCCAGGAGGTTCCGCTCCTTGAGAATGCCCACTCCGCTCCCCTCCCCTCCCCTCTCTGGGCCCTGGTCACCACAGGAAGCCAAGCCGGAGGGGTGGGTTGGGAGGGAGGGAGGGGGGAGGGAGGGGGGGCCTGGGGGTGGGAGGGCAGGGCCTTCTGTGTACCTTGGGTGGGTGGAGCAGCAGGTCGTGGAAGTCGCTCAGCCGGGGCTCGATGCCAGAGAGGACGCTGCCGCTGATGGCGTAAGGCCTCTCGCCCCCCTGGGAGAAGGCGTCCACCAGCCCCTCCACGCTGTGGGCAGAGGCAGGCGGCACCCTCAAGGCCGGGCGCAGGGCCCATGCGGTGGCCGGGCAAGCGAGGCCCAGCCCACGCACCCCCCCCCAGAGGAGGGCCTCCCACTCACGGCCAGTTCACCCCTGGCCTTGGAAGAAGTCCTTCCCAGGGGCCTGGACACTGCCGTACAAAATGGGAACCAGGGCGCCCGTGTGTGCGCAAACACACAACAGTTCATCTAACATTACCAAACATGCATCCAACCCTCTGAGGCACTGGGGGGGGGGGGGGCATCCAGCCCCTCCCCCCACATGGAAATCACAAGTGGACTTCCCCCAGGAGATCAGTCCAAATCCCACTGGGTGACTTTGGGAAAGTCAGAAACTCTCAGCCGCAGGAAGGCCAGGGCACCCCTCTCCCCCCCCCCAACTAATCTTGCCAGGATAGCCCTGTGACAGGTTCCCTTGAGGGCCGGCCTAAGCTGCCATCATACCTGGAAGGTATGCACCGAGACTCATTCCGCCCTTCTCTGAACCTCTCTCTCCTCCTCCCAATGAGGCGCACAACACCAAATGCACGTGCACACCCCCTCCCCCCCCCCGCCTGGGGGTTCATGGGAAGGCAGTGAGACTCACCCCCCGCGCCTGGGCTCCAGGAGGGTCAGCAGGGCCTGGGTCCCACTCACAATGCAGCTCTCCGTGCGCTCCCCATCAAACATGTTCTTCAGGAGCTGCTCCACACATTCCTGCCTGGCGAGACCAGGAGGGGATAAAGGAAGTGCCCGGGGAGGGAGGGAGGGGGGGGCACCCCCACAAGGAAGCCGTGGCCCCCGGATGGATGTGGCAGGGAGAGGCTGGCCGCCTGCTGCTCATGATGCCCCCCAGTCCTCCTCCATGCCTGGGCCCCAATCCCCTTTTCCCAGTCAGCAGGTCCCGCCTTCTTTCACTCGGCCGTTTCCTCCAAGATTTGAGGGGACACAACTCCCCCCCCCTCGCTATCCCCACTGTCGTGAGGCCGAGGGCCTGGCGGAGCAAAGGCCGCAGGGAAAGGCCAACCCGGGCCTGCCTCCCCGAGTCCCTCCGGCCCCGCCTCTATTCTTTCCCCTTCCCTTCGGCCCAGTTTTTCAGCTAGAATAACACTGACGGGAGTTGGGAAACTGAGGAATATCCATAGGGAGGAAAGCCCGATAGAAAAGGCAGTGAAGAACGGGCACTGAACATAGTCCGTAAGTCCCTACAGCCTAGAAACGCGCACTGTTCTAGCAAAGAATGAACCCACCAGAGAACGCCCGCTCAGGAACTGCCTTCCCCCTCTCAGGCCCTCCAAGCTGCCTTAGCCGAGGGGCAGGGTGAGGGGCTTGCCTCCCTCCCTCCCCTCCCCTCCCCTCCCCTGCAGAACAGCCCCCCCTCCAGCCCCTCAGCTGCCCCACCTTTGGCCTGCCCCCCCTCCACCCCAAGGTAGGGACTCCCAGAGCCCACCCCCGACTGCTGCTGCTGCTCCTGCAGGCACAGACCCCGCGTGGGGAGGGCAGGAAGAGGGCCCCCCAGCCCAGCCCAGCCCAGCCCAGCCCAGCCCAGCCCCCCTGGCCCTGATCCTCCGGCCCCAGCACTTACGATTCCAGCACTGCCAGGAGAGGGTCGGCCTCGGGGGGCTCCTGCAGCTGGCTGCCCTGGTCTCGGCTCAGCCGGATGACGTCGCACAGCGTTTGGGAAGCGTTGGACTGACGCTGCAAAGCAGGAGGAGCAGGAGGAGGGTCACCCAGGGCCAAGGCACCACCACCACCACCACCACCACCACCAGCAGGCCTGGCCTGACCCTGCGTCGTCACCCGCTGGGCCGGGCCTTGACTTTGTAGGCGCCCTGCCTTTCCAGCCGGGAGGCCTCACCACCCTCTCCTCCTCCTCCTCCTCCTCCCCCCGCCCTCTTGGTGGCCTCATTGAGCCTTCATGGCATCACACTCTCTCACTCACTCGCTCTCTCCCTCCTTGGTGTGGCCTCAGGCACATAAGGCTCTCCCTCCCTCCCTCCCTCCCCCCCTCCCCAGGCCCCTCCCCATGTCTCTTCCTCCCTGGGCTTTCCTGACATCTGGGGGGGGGCGGTCATGGCATGGGAGTGCCTAAAGGCAGCAGAGGGGCAGCAGAGGGGCCACAGGGGAGGAGAGGAGAAGCCCACCCAGCCCATGCACTGAGAGCAGCCCACCAGCCTCCCCTGCAAGGCGAACTTACGTCCTCGTCCTGGCTGGGGTGGATCAGGCCCACAAGCCTCTGGATCACCTTGGCGTCATTCAGCCACTGGTGGAACAAAAAGGGGGGGGGAGGGGGACAAGCCCAGGTGAGCAGTGGCACCCCCACCCCTTTGGCCCCAACTCCCTGGGCACCAAGCCAGCCTTCCTGGGACTCAAGGGGGGTGCCCCTCCCCACCCACTCGGCACCCACTCAGGAGGAACGCCCAATGAGTCATGCATCCAGGGCCCAAGGAAGAGCAACGGCCCCCAGCCCTCCCTCCAACCCCTCCCTCCCAGGCACAGCAACCAGTCGGTGAAGCAGGGAAGGAACCATGCGCCACCTGGCAGCCCCAAGCCTCCCCCCCCACCCCACACTTTGGCCTAGCCTTGGCTTGTCTTTGTGTGTGTGGGGGGGGGGGGCTTGGGGCTGCCAGGTGGCGCATGGCTCCTTCCCTGCTTCACCGTACTAGAGATGAGCACATGTGTGGGCAAGCCTCCTGAACCTCAAGGCAAAGAGGCCGGGAAGAGTCCTCAGAGCGAGGGTCCTCGTCCTCTGGATGGTGGGAGACGCCAGGAGCACAGCCGGCCCCTCCCGCACCACCCCTGCCCCCTCCCCTCCCCTCCCTCCCTCCCACACAAGCCTGGGGCGCTCGCCCTCTCGCCCCAGAGTGTAGATGAGGATGCCCGGCTAGCCCCCCCGCCTCCCACCTCCCACCACGCGCAGAGAGAGAGCCCACGGGTGGCTTGGCTGTGCCAGGGGCCGTCCTATGAGGCACGAGTGGCTCACGTTCAGGACTTCGTGGCGCAGCTGGGAGGGCTCCACGCAGCTGATGAGTCGCAGGAGGAGGTCCATCATGGCCGACGTGTTGATGTGCTTCAGGACCAGGTCGATGAAGTGCTCCTTCCTCCTCAGGAACGCAATCACCTTGCGGGAAAAACACCACTTCAGCTCTTCCACCCCTTCGAGGCATTTACCAAAAGTCCGCTGGCCAAGAGAGAGGCCGGCAGAATATACACGCCATTAAGAAACCGTCTTAAGAGACGTCAGGAGAGAATGCCTCTAGACCATGGCCATATAGCCCCAAAAAACCCACAACAACCCAGTCTTAAGAGAGCGACGACAATGACATGAAGAAAGGAAACTTTCAAAAGCAACAACCCACCCAGGAAGGAAACCTTCCCTTTAAAAGATACACGAGTTGGAACGTGACCATGCGCCTGCGCACAAAGGGCTCTTCTGGCTGTTTCTGGTCCCTGCAAACGGCCTCTGCGAGGGGGGGGGGCTCTGCAGGCTTCCTCCCGAGTCTCTCCCCCTCCCCCCCCCAGGGGCGCAGCGGCCCACCTGCTCCGTCTTCCTGGCGATGAGGTTGCCAATGGTCTTGCTGAAGAAGCTGGCCAGCAAGGGGTTCAGGGGCGGCTCGTGGTCCAGGAAGTCGTAGAGGACGCTCAGCAGGGCCTCGTCCCCCCCAAGCTTGTCGTTGATCTGTGGCACGTCAGAGGTCAGCAGTTCACAGGCCGTGTTGGGGTACCTGCGGGAACAGGAGCCGAGCAGGAGGAAGTGGGAGGGAGGAAGGTCCAGCCATGGGGGGGGGGGAGTCCTCTGGCCTCTCCCACAACCAGAAGTAATGCCCATTCCTCTCCTGGCCAAGGCAAGGGCGCTTCCGGGAGCGCAGTCCCAGGGACCCCACAAGGAACAGGCGCTGAGCGCTGCAAAAGGATCAAGGCTCACTTGCCCTCGGGTGCCCTGTTCCCAAGGGGAACTCTCCGCTTGGGGGCTGCTGTGGATCTTCAAGGCCAAGCGGCCTGCAGCCCCTCTTCTGCCTCAGGCCTCTTGGCCACACCTCTACTGGCTCTACAAGAAGCCCTGGGGGAGCGGGGTCCACAATGCCACAGGCACCCCCCCCACATATTCTGCACAAAGGCCCTGATCTCTCCCCCCGACTTGTGAACAGAAGGAGGGGCCTGGGGTGTGGATTCCCCCTGGTTTCACCCTCCTCCACCCACCCACCCACCCACCCATCCCCCCCCCAGGTGTGGGCTACCCAAAGCCCGGCAGCAATGGCTGCAGTGGCGGCACGTACTTGAAGCGGACCTTCTCGTCCATGTCCAGGGGGGGCTCCTGGGTGATGAGGCGGACCAGCTCCTCCATGCAGCTCGGCCGGCAGAGGAAGTCCACCAGCTTCCGGTTCTGGGCCTTGCACTCCTGGAGGAGGTCATCTTCGTCCATCAACTCCTGCAGCGTCACATCCTCCTTCTCCAGCAGCTTGTCAACGTGCGACGTGGCATTCAAGTCAAATTTCCAGAACATGGTGAGAGAGAGCGCCCCGCTACCTGCACCGGGGGGGGGGGGGGAGGGAAGAAGTGGGTGGGGCGCGTGGACGATGCCCGGCGGATGGGAGGGGGCTCTCTGTGCCCACCGCCCGACAGGGCTGTTCCCTCACGATCTTGGGGGGGGGAGGAGAAAGCACCGCCAGAGGGATGGGGGGCAGAGGGGGGGTCCTACCTCCTCCTGCGCAGGCGCCGCTTCAGGGGCTGCCCTTTGGCCTTGCTGCCGCTCCAGAGGACCTGGCCTTGGGGACAACTTCCATTTACCTCGGTTTCTTTCCAGCCCTTTCCTGCAGAGGGAAAGAAGAGTGGGCATGTTGTAAGTGGTGAGAGAAGGCAGAGGCCTTGGGGGGGGGGGGGCTGCTTCCTTGGCTGCGCTGTCCCTCCCTGGCCAAAGCGGCGTGGACGAGGTGGCCCATGTGCTCCCCTCCAAGTCTGGCCCTCCACAGCCACACACTACCTCCGGCTCAGAGTCCAAGTAGCAAAAGAGAAGCAGCGTCAGGGAGGAGCTTCCCTGACGGGCCCCAGTGGGCCCCCCTCGCTCCCCAGGACGGCTGTGTGTGTGTGTGAGGAGCGGCCACTCCAAGGCTGGGAGTAGCCCTGGCAGGCCCACTCAGCCTTCAGGCCCACCTGCAAAGGCCCAGGGAGTCAGGGGGCTTTGCTAGGAGGAAACCACCAAAGCCCCTCCCACTCCTCCCAAAACCAGCAGGGCCAGGCCCCCCCACAGAGGCAAAACTGGGCCCAGGGCGCCCTCCCCGGGAGGCTCTGCCACAGGAAGCAGCGCGGCCGCAATGGGGCCCACCTGCCCGCTCTCCCGGAGGAGGAAGCAGGGGAGGAACGCCTGAGAGGCTGCTGCTTGCGCTTGAACACCAGCCTGAGAAGACACGCTGGGACTGAATGACACACAAGCACAAAGAACTTCAGTGCCCTCCTCTGAGATCTGCCACAGCAGGGACTAAACACAACCCAGCCCAAAAGGCAAACCTGTCCCGGAGGCACAGCGTGCAACAGGGAACCTGCAACCTCTGCAGCCCACCTGGACTAAACCCCACTTCGTGAAATACAGGCAGTCCCCAAGTTACAAGTATCTGGCTGATATATGATTCAAGAACAGGCCTGAGACAGTAGGAAGTGAGAGAAATATACCAATTGGAAGGGAAGTCCACTCCCGAAAGAGTTTTTATCGTGGGAGGAAAGGCACTCCACTGAAGCTTTCTCTCCAAGTCTTGTTTCCACAACAAGCCACAATTTCCAAAATCTCATTCTCTCAGGGACAGAAAGTGAGGTGAGTTCTCCTGAAGAGGGGCAGAGGCAGCAAAGGAAGCTCCACGGGGGTGTTAGCCCTTCCCTATGCCACCCAAAGCATGCGTGCTTGCATATATATATATATATGAGAGAGAAATAGAGATATAGATATATGGCCGGAGCTGTCCCTGTTTCAACTTACAAATTCAACTCCACTGAGGTAGAGAAGAAGGGGATATAAAAGTTCTAAACAAATAAATAAGAAATAAGAACAAACCTACGGAACCTATCTTGTTTGTAACTTGGGGACAGCCTGCAGAGCAGTGGTCCTCAGCCTGTGGGCCCCCAGGTATTTTGACCTTCAACTCCCAGAAACCCAAACAGCAGGTAAACTGGCTGGGATTTCTGGGAGTTGTGGGCCAAAACAACTGGGGAGGGACCCACAGGTGGGGAACCACTGCTGTAGAGGGAAACACTGTCCACAGCAAGACACATGGGACCCAATTGCAACGATGAGATTCCCCACCCCCACCCCAATCCACAGACCCCTCACCACCTGTAACAGAGTGGGCTGTGAGGCCGAGCAGGGAATCCTCTTCTCAGCCTCAGAGTCTTGCCATCCTTTGCTCCAAGCAAGGCACAGCTTTCTAACGCGAGAAGGAAAAGGGGGCTTCCTCTCTCTCTCTCTCTCTCCTGACTCCAGTATATGCCAAATGCTCTCAGGCTGTTCTGACTTCAGTGAGAGCTTGGCAAATCCCTTCAGTGCTCATGGAGAAGACCGTGGGTCAAACAGTCCTTTGGGGACAGACAGCCTATGAATTCCAGGTGGGGTTCATGGAAGGCACGGGTGGACAGAGCGGGGCCTACGTCTAACTTTCCAAGAGTCCAACCGCCAACTCCCCCCCCCCCCAAAACCAAAGGGAAGCCACTGCTTGATGCTTTTCTATACAACCCCTGCACTGGGGGAGGGGGCTATAAAAGCCAACAATCTACTCACATCAGCAGCAAGGTATTCTAGGAATGACCCGTTGCCAATGCACTTGAGAGCATTACAACCTCTTTGCTTCCATGTTGTTGTTTCCTTTCATACCATAAACAATTTTGATTTTGGGTTCAGGAATGTCACAATATACGTATATTTACAACAGACTCTCAATTAACCCCTGCCCCTCTATCAATCCCATGGGGGCTGTTAGATGCTGAATAAATGTGGTTTCTGGTTGCTTGAGAATTACTACCAAAAAGACCATAAACTCTGTATTGACTTGTTTTTAATATTGACATTACAGTAATTAAAAGCAAATTCAAGCAAATGAAAATAAACATAATTTAAACTAACTGCAATAATATGAAATAACATACATGAGAAATTAGCATAAGCAACTAAATAACAATGCTGTTCTACATATAAAATAATAATAATAATAATAACAACACTTTATTTATAAAACAACTACAGACAGTCCCTGACTTACAAGCATCCAACTTACATATGACTCAGAACAAGAACAAGAACAAGTTAAGAACGGGGCTGCTACAACAGGAAGTGAGTGAGATCTACCAGTCGGAAGGGAAATCCACTCCCGAAAGGGTTCTCACCCGGGGAGAAAGGGGGCTCCACTGAAGCTTTCTCTCCTATCCTTGTTTCCACAACAAGCCACATTTTTCAAAATGCAATGATCACAGAGACAGGAAGTGAGGTGCAATCTTCTCAACAGGGGCACAGACTGCAAAGGAAATACCACGGGGTGTTATGGTAACCTTCCCTATGTGATCCAAACAGAAATTTGGCTGGTTGTTGTTGTTGTTCATTCATTCATTCGTTTCCGACTCTTCATGACCACATGGACCAGCCTACGCCAGAGCTCCATGTTGACTCGAGTTAGACTTAAAAATGTATCTGTTCCGGCTTATATATAAATTCAACTTAAGAACAAACTGAGAGAATCTCACTTGTTTGCAACTTGAGGACTGCCTGTACTGATAACCACCCCAATGGTTTCTCAAAACCGAACTGCATTTTTTGACGAACGCAGCCCTTTTGCGCGCCCAAAGGTCCTTGGCAGCAAGCAAGGGTTTGGAAAGCCCCTGCCCCACTTTATCAGCGAAGAACCTTGCCAACTCTTCACAATGAGCTGCCAATTGGTTACGGTTCCCTGGTTGAACAGGGTTTTAAGAAACCCATACCACTCAGAATAGTACTTATTATTTATTTATGTATTTATTTATGTATTTATGGCATTTGTACCCCGCCTTTCCCCAATCAAGGGCCCAAGGTGGCTTACGGCCAACAAAAATATACAATATAAAAGTTAAAAACAAGTAAAACCCACAGATATTAGCACATGCTGTAAAACTCTTATTAAAACTACTACAACAAAGATATAACTACCCTGATAATACCTAATGAAGCTAGAATAATAATAGAATAATAGTAGAATCATAAGGTTGGGAAAGGCCACGCGGGGCATCTAGTCCACCCCTTACAGGTATGCAGGAAAAGCAAAATCAAAGCCCCCCCAGACAGATGGCCACCTAGCCTCTGGTTGAAGTAGTCTTTCATGTTCCTCGATTCGTGTTTGAGCAATGCTGCGTTTGGGGTCCCTATGTAGACTTGTCCACAGCTGCATGGTATACGGTAGACTCCTGCAGAAGTCAGCCATAGCAGAGCACCTGATGAACCAACCTGGACACAGCATATTATTGGAGAACACAGAAAAGCTGGACCACTCCAGCAACCACCATGTCCGGCTACACAGAGAAGCCATTGAAATCCACAAGGAGCATGTGGACAATTTCATCAGAAAGGAGGAAACCGTGAAAATGAACAAAATCTGGCTACCAGTATTAAAAAACTCTAAAATTACAACAACAAATCAACAGAGAGGAAACAAACAAGGACATCTAATCACTCTCAACAAAAGATTGCCCCGGGCACTGCCAGGACATCAAATGCTAATCAAGGTGGTCATTTGAAACATTCACACCTAGCTCCAACAGACAAGAGTTCTTTGTCCCACCCTGGTCATTCCACAGATATATAAACCCTTTTTCTAGTTCCAACAGACCCCACTACCTATGAGGATGCTTGCCACAGATGTAGGCGAAACTTCAGGAGAGAATGCCTCTAGACCATGGCCATATAGCCCGAAAAAACCTACAACAACCCAGTGATTCTGGCCATGAAAGCCTTCGAAAATATAATATAATAAAATGTCATTTATATACTGCTTTATCTCCCCGGAGGGACTCAGGGCAGTTTCCAAGCAACAACATCAAAACATACAGAGTCACAACACGAACAAAAAATAACAGTAACAGCAACGTAAGCATGGTCTTACCCAACAACACATAAATATTAAAATAAAAAATCCTGACTGCTCTTCATGTCAATTAGTTAGGGCATGGGAAAGGAATGGGTCAGGACTGATACACATTGAAATAAGATGGGACAGGCATTTGGGTACAGCACTGTAATCGGTAAACGACAAAAGCGGGGATGGGCTATTTCCAGGGGCCTGTTAGGAGAACGACTGGGGTCATAAATAGGGGGCTAGGTCATGTCCGGACGGTGTCTGGGCTGAGCTAGCACTGGTCACTCTCGAACATTTGTTGACACCACCAAGTCTTCAAACTCTTACAAAAAGAGGGGAGGGGTGGGGCCTGTCTTATTTCCCTTGGAAGGGCGTCCCAGAGGCAGGGGCCACCACCGAGAAGAGCCCCTCTCTCATATATCCCAGTTCAAAGCAGATAATGTGGGATTTTATTCAGCTGTGTGGAAGGGGCCTTTGTCTCCATGACAACAGCAGCAAGATGTTCCATTGTGGAACAGCTTTTAGTTTTTTCCTAATGTTGAGATGGAATCTCCTGTCCTGCCCTGCCCTTTGAACCCATGTCTCTGTTGAGTCCTCGTCTCCAGAGCAGAGAAAGGAAGCCCCCTCCCTCTTCCTTGGGGCATCCTTCCACCTAAAGATCATGGGATCCTTGTGGACAATAAGCGGAAACTATCGAGGTCTCTCCCTCCTAACCTCCGCTGGGAAAATCC